CTGACTCTTGATTTCAGCTCAGGTCATGATTTCATGGGTTCATGAGGTCACGCCCCACATCAGGCTCTGCACCGACACTGCGGAAACTGCTTAGGATTTTCTCTCCCTCTGCCTCTCCCTGACTCTCATTCTCTCCCTCTCTCTCAAAATAAAAAATGAAAGTTTTTTTTAAATGTCAATAATTAGAGGGGCACCTGGGCTCAGTCAGTTGAGTCACCGACTCTTGATTTGGGCTCAGGTCATGATCCCAGGGTGTGGGATCAAGCTCAGGAAAAGGATGTGTTCTAATAGTAAAGAAGTCAAAATTACCGTAGAACAAAAATGTTTTAAGTGTTTAAAAGTTTGAGGTAGAAGAAAACTGGTGGACTGCTAAAGCTTTAGGAACAATTTTTTCTCCTGTAAGAGGACTCTGTGGATTGGGCATCAGTCTGCCAAATTGTCAGTGTAAGAAACTTTTTTTTTATATTGCTCTACTACTGTTAAGACTTTAGGGATTATTGGGGCGCCTGGGTGGCTTAGTTGGTTAAGCGTCCGGCTTTCGCTTAGGTCATGATCTCGCGGTTCGTGGGTTCGAGCCCCGCGTCAGGCTCTGTGCTGACTGCCAGCTCAGAGCCTGGAGCCTGTTTCAGTCTGTGACTCCCTCTCTCTCTGACCCTCCCCTGCTCACGCTGTCTCTCTCTCTCTCTCTCTCCTAGAAATAAATAAAACATTAAAAAAAAAAAAAAAGACTTTAGGGATTATTATATGATTAAGTTCCTTTCAAAGGGAACATACCTGTAAAAGACTTGCTGAATTCTTAAGTATATTTTATTATATTCAAGAACTTGAAGTTTTGTTCAGAAGAATGCTTATAAAATTTTATTATGGAAAATCAGCTTTATCCAACAAAAATTCTCTTTACTGAAAAACAACTAACTATTGTTTTGAGAGATATTTCTAACGCCCTCTTTCATAACTGGTCTTGGCCAAGGGTCTTCACTTCACTTGCCAAAGACCTCTCCCAATATTTTTTAATCCTAATTTTTATTTTATGTTGCCACTCTAATTTCTCAAATTTTCTCTTCCTGATCATCAAAATCCCTTATATGCTACGAAGAGCAGAAAGAGGATCAGAGGACAAGCAAAAAATGGGAAAGGGAGAGAATCACAGAAGGCCATTCGAACAGTGAAAGCCACTGACTGCCACTTGTTGCCAGGAAGAGGCAGGGAACTCAAGTTGAGCACCATAGGGCAAAAAGATACCTCCTCCTTCTAAATCACTAAATGCTGCAGTGACTTATAACTGGTTGTCAGGAGATAGAGTACAAGTTTCCTCACTAACAGTGTGCCTCGGTGTGCATCGTCCCCTTCCACATCTGCAGGACGTAAGAGAGGCCACCTTCCACACAGAGCTGGGTGAGAAAGGAAATGAATTAATGGGATATTGGCTTAGAAGCTGTGAGCCCTCTACAATTGTAATTTATCGTTACCACTGCTTTGGGTCTCTGTTCCCTCCTCATTATATTTTGCAAAGTTTAGCCAGATCTTTCTCACTGAAACCACTACTTTCAACCCTGCATTGGGCAACTCTTTATTCAGAACGTGTCTGGCTGTCATATGGAATAGAAGCCCTGAGTGTGTGGCAATAAACTTGGGAGTGAGAGGGGGTGGGGTGACCTTAAAGATAAAGCTAATGTTTTAGTTTTAAAACAATTTAGCAATTAGACCATGTAAGAATACAAAAGACATTCAACAATTAGCAAGGATGATGGAAATGCGGTATTGGTCCTTGGGCAGAAAGCGTCCGTGATTACAGGATAATCCAGAAACGCAAACCCAGGAACGCTAGAGATAGTGGACAGGGAAGCGAATGGGCCAAGAATCGGCCTCTCTGCTTGAAACACAGTGCAAAAAAACGCCCAGTGCCAAGAACTGCCATTCATTCTCGGAAACGCTCCAAGGAAAGGTTAGTACTACGGTGATTAATACTGTTTACAGGAGCAATAAATTTTAGGTAAACACCCAAAGGAGGGTTAAAGAGCCGTCTCATTGGTCCCATAAACTCGGATGGAGGGAGCGGGGAATGACTCCGCGGAAACCTTGGCCCTGGCCGCCGGGTCCTGCGGTGGCCGGCGAGGCACCCGCGAGTTTCGCACCCCCCCAGCTCTCCCCTGCGCCGCAGCGCGCCCCCACCCCCCCACACACCCACCAGCAGCGGCCCGCAGCGGCCCGCCGCGCTGCCCGAGGCCCGTGCAAGTTACAACCCAGGGGATGCGGCTGCTGCCGCGGGTCCCGGAGGCCGCGAGCCCCCGCCTCGGCCAGGGCGCGCGGGCCATCGAGGCTCCCCGATCTCGGCGCGTTCCGGCCGCAGCAAGCGGTGCGCCGACCCTCCCGGGCGCGGCACGGGGAACTGACCCGCCGCGGTCCCAGTGACCCAGGGGGCCTGGACGCTGGTAAGGAGGAGACTCCCTCCGGGACGGCCCAGAAAGCGGAGCTGATCGCCCCAAGTCAGTCCTGGGACTCTCCTTTTCAACGTGCCCCCCAGGCCCTTGAAGATCCGGCACGTTTTCTCCTTCCCTTGGAACAACCCTGAAACAGTCCCTTTCGTAATCCCGGGCTTGGGGGTCAAAGAATTCTCTTGTAACAGCGTGCCTTCTAAAAGTTGCACAGCCTACAATCCGCGCTTTGTTGGGTTTATAAGTGGCCTTGGACCACCAGAGCCTCGGACCCAGGGCCCAAAGGGGACACGAGTTACCTTACCTGACGCAGCAAGTGATACCAAGAGTGCGGGAAGGTAGAAGAGGCTACCGGGGGGTGGGGGGGAGGGGGCTACACACCCACTGGACGTCCGCCTCCCTCGCGTCCCCTCCCCGGAACCCCACCCGCGCGCGCAGCAACGGCTTGGAGATCGAGCACGTTTCCTGCCAAGCGGCTGCCGGCGAGCCGCTCCCCTACCCGCCCACCACACTGCCACCCACTTCCCACTCTCTCCAGGAGGACACCTCGGGGCCCCGCCTTCCCGGGGCCGGGGTGTGTGTCCTAGGCCATCCTAGGAGGCCACGTCCCCTCTCGGAGACCACAGCGCGCGACGCACGGTTCCGCGACCGTCTCAGCCGGCGGGGGAGGAAGGCTGGGGAAGACGGGCGGCCGCGCCGCACCCGTCGGACGAGTCTGGGGCGTTTGCCACCAGACGGATTGCGGGGACCTCCCCGCCCGAGCTCCCGTCCCGTTTCTGGCACTCCCCCTCTCCCGCCGAGGGGAACTGGACTCCGGTTCCGAGGAAAGTGCGTGCGAAAGTTGGTGACATCTTAGACGGCCTGGAGAAGGTGATCGGGACGCACAGCAGAAGCCGCAGGAAAAAAAACCATCCTCCGGGCAGCCCACGCCCCGCCTCCCCGGGGCTGCGACACCGCACCGGCTTACCTGCTCGCAGGACCCGCGGGCCCGCGTCGCCTGCCAGCCGCCGCCGCCTCCGAGTCCGGAGCGGGCCGGGCTCTTCTGGGCGTGTTTGGGTCGTTAGTGACCGCGGGGGAGTGTGCGAGCGTGAGTCCTGGGGAGCAACGTGTTTTCAAAAGGAAATGTGAAGAACCAGAGAAATCCGAAAGAAAAAAAAAAAATTTTTTTTTTGACACCCGATTGAAAACGCCTCCAACTTGTGCAATCTTCCTGCCGGGTAGTTCCGCCAAAAACAAAAACAAAACAGTCCAAGCGCAAACCTGGAACGGGCGCGCCGGCACCAAGTTTGCCAAACACTAGAGAGTTTTCCGTCTGCAGAAACGACCCAGAAGAAGGGAGGCACCGCTCCCCGCGGTGCCCCAATCGGCTTCGGGGAGCCGGAGGCTCCTCCTCGGCCCTCGGCGGGAGAAAGCCCGGGGCCGGCCGCGGCTGCCCGCTCCCCTCCTCCGAGGAAAGGCGACTCCACAACTTTGTGCGCGAGCGGCCGGCTCCGCCGGCTCCGCCTCCGCCTCCTCCCCCCCGCCGCCGCCGGCCTGCCCCTTTGTTGGAGAGCCGCGCAGCAGGCGGCAGAGGGAGGGGGCGCGCAGCCGTCCCCCCTCTCCCCTCCCCGGGGAAGCGGGCTCGCCTCCGGGCACCCCGGGGCTGGCCCTCCCCGGGAGGAGGCGGCCGAGCGCTCGCGCTCCCCGCCGCACTCGGCTCTCGGCCGCCGGCCCCCGCCGCCGCAGGCCCAGCAACTTTGTTCCCGGGAGAGCCGCCCCTCGCGGCTCCGGTTCGGCCCCGGCCCGGGCGGCCGCGGCGGGCTGGGCTCCGGGAACGTGGCGCCCCGGGTCACCTGACCGCGCGCCCAGTCAATCAGCTCCCGCCCCGCGCGCCCTCCCCGCCCGCAGCGGCCCGCCCGGCGCTCGGCGGGCCTGGGGCTGCGCGCCCCGCGCGGCTCCCGGAGCGTGCGGCGCGCCGGGCGCTGGAACGGACGCCTCGCACAAGCACCATCCCCTTTATTCAGATTACCCGAAAACGTGAGTCCCGCCCCCACCTCGGGCACACCGGGTAGTTCGGGTGATCGTGTTCTCTTCCAGAGGTAAATCTCCGTTTGCCCCCTCCACTCACCCCACCTCCGTTTGCTGACGTTGCTGATTTGTAGATTCTAGTTCCAAGGGTGTATTTATTTTAGCTTTCTTAGTGTCGCTTTTAGTGTTAAGAGGAACTTGAAATTTCGTTTTATATTCGTTCATACCTACAAACTGCCTATGCTAGCCTTATTTTTCTTTTTTTCAAACACACACACACACCAACGTAGACCTAGAATAGCCCGTCCCAAGGTTGAGGCGTTGGTCAAGAAAATCTGGGAAGAAATCAGTGTGTGTTTCCTGTGCATGTCTCTTATTTACATATTTCATTCGTGTGTGTTCCTGTGACTCTTACATGATCATCACACTTGAGGATGGAGAGGGGAGCAGGGACAGCAACCTAAGTTCCCAGTTTGTAAAAAAAGAGGAAAGGATGATTGATAACTGAGCAGCTCTGGCTTATTGCTGGTTTAATATTTGGAAATTAATTTACAAGTTAGTAAAGATAAACCACTAGAGGATTTAAATGCTTTTTTTTTCCCCCCAGAAAGAATTCACTAGTTTTTTATTAGCTACGAAGGGAGTTTCCCCCTTCCCTAAGTGCTGTTGGAGTGGTAGGAGGTCCTGAGAGAGTGTTCTTTATAAAGTCTCCAGCCTAGTTAGCTTCCTTGCTTTGGGGAATTTTCTTCATATAACCCCACAACACGTTCAGATGATTAACTTCAAGTGGATATAATTTATTCATTCACTTTTATTGGTTCATTCATTTAGCAAATGCCAATTTATGGCCAGCCAGTTCCAAAGCCCTGTGAATGATGCAAAGAAAAATCGGATGGAGATCTTGCCTTCAAGAATGTCAAATCTAGTAAGTGAGATAAGGCATGTAAACAAGTAAGATATGCAAGATCAGTGATAAGTGCCATTAGAAAAGGAACGACCAAGTGCTACTTGAGTCTGTCTGTATCGAAGGAGACTGAGGTTTAACTGATAATTCTACAGACTCTTAAAGCTGTTCATCATGCACTGTATCCTCTTGGTTGAGTTGATGGAAATTCTGATTCCTCCTTTGAAATAAAATTACATTGAAACATTGAAGAATTTCGTTGCTTGAAATGATGTAAGTGAAAAGCACTTTGTAAATTGCAAAATGCTGGACAAATGTTACTTTATTTAACTCAAGATTTTGAAAAACACAGTGTCTCCGGCACCTAGAATCTCTGAGTTTTTTAACCACTGAGGGGATGTTTAGTTAAGCTTCCCCAAAGACTATCAGGAAAGAGTCATAACAGTACAGTCACCATCTGTACCGGCGTGACTTCACCCACACCCGCAGCTTCCACTGCTGGTTACCGGGAACCTGTGTGCTGTTTGTAGCCCATCTCTCCTCACACAGGGACTGATATTCTCTGTAGGCCTTGGGCAGAGAGAAAACAAAGAACTTCCTTTTGTTGGGATGCCCAAGAGGTCCCAAGCTGCTCCTGCTCCCTGTTTCCTTTGCAAGTAGGGAAACCATATTTAGTGGAAGATTTTGACCACAGAAGGCCATGTTTCCATACAGCAGACAGTGTGATCTTCCTTTGCAGCCCAAGAATCAAGTTGCAGGGAAAGTGGAGACCAACTACCAGGAGGTGAGTAGCAGTTAATGCACCTGCATCCAACATTCTAGCTGTGGTCCATGCAGCAGGGGCATCAGCTTGTAATGACAGTACTCAATGGGTTCTGTCTCCCCTCCCCAAAGAGGAACGTAGAGCATTCAGGCAAAGTGATAGGAATGTGGCCCAGGGTCTACCATTAACTCGAACTCTGAATTGCCCCCACAGTCACCACAGAACAGTGAAAATTCAAGAAAACTGAACTGATATCATTGGGACAAAGCCCTTGACATAGGAGAAAATATGCGTAGTGTATATATAGATTAAGATATAGAAATATATTCATCTTTACTATGTATAATATAAAGAGAGATGTTTCTACATCGAACTCTTCATATGGAGGGAACTGCATCCTAATATAAGAGCTAAAAAGAAACCTTTCTTACTAAGCTTTGTATATAATGAATATAGTATATATAGCAAGAGTATATAAATGTGGTTTCTCTTTAAACTATAGAAACATAGGGAAACATATAACATATAAAAAGCAAGTCACTCCTTCAGCTTTGCCCTTGGTGTTGACTATAAATAAAGCCCTGCATGGAAGCATTTAAGAGAGAAACAAAGGTTAGGGAACTTTTCTTATCTTTTCCAGGTCAAGAAAGTGGCTTATACATAATAGCAGAATACTTGCTGAATATTGTTGCTGAATTCTTCAAATATTAGTATTTATTGTGCAAGTTGAAAATAGATATAAATAAAATTCTTTGCAATCCAATTAAGGAAACTAATAATAATAATGCATGAAACTTTTAGAGAAAAATTAGAACAAAGGCAGAATTTCTCACAATTTCATGAGCTCAAGAATCACCAGGGAGAATATTTTACATTCAGATTGCCTACCAACTCCCAGAAATTCTGATTTGCTAGGTCTTCTGAGGCCCAGGAATCTGCAATTTTAACAAACAATCCATGAAGTTAGATCAGGATGGTTGGGGAATCTTACTTCAAGCCACTGTTCCCTAAGGAGCTGGCCTCAAATAGGCCACTTTGGATGATTGGAGGAGTCTAGAAATTGCCCTATAAGAAAAACATTGCCCATTGGATCGATCATAATTTCAAAATGCCCACAATTAGCCTTATCTCTTTGAGTTCAAGAGTTCAGTTATGGATCACCCTTGAGGCTGTCGAGGGTCATTAACTCATTAACACCTCCGGAGCATTCTGGGCAATTCAGCCTGCCCTGTGGTAAGGAGCCTGGCGGGTCCTGACCAAATGCTCTGCAGGAAAAGTCTGCTGGCAGGAGGGGGGAGAGGAGAGGATAGGTAAAGGTATGGGAGTTGAAATGCAGGGTCCAAAGAAGCTAAGGACAAAATAAAAAGACCAAGCAAGCGATTGAGGAGAAAAGAGTAAGTGATAGAACAAAAGGAGAGAATCAAGGAGGCCCCCAGAGGGAAGGAAGAGGCAAGGAGAGAGTCGAGGAGTCAACCAGACCCACTGCTTCACAGTGGGCTGTCCCTGATAACCAGACAGCCCTCTGAGTAAAAGGAGTGTCCTGTGTTGGGGTTATCAGACTTGTCGCTTCTACTTGGTTTTGTTTACACTGCATAATTTGGCAATGTTGGTACTGGAAGGGATTTTACAGTTTCTCCTTCAACCCTCTAACTGTGTGACTAAAGAAACAAATGACAAAGATGCAAAACAGGCTAAGGAGTACATTTAGGTAACATAAAAATCTATTGGGGGAAAATGTCCAAATTACTAAGAAGGAAAGAGAGCATCCCTAGGGTATATACATTCCTTGTTAACCTGCAGAAGGAACAGGAGGAACAGAAGACAGAGTTGCTGAAAGCGATCAAGGCTGGATTTAAGTTGCCTGAGTGCTAACTATTAAGTTGACAGTTATTAACTGTATGAGCTTGTGGAACTTAACCTTTAGTTACGTGTCTATGAAATAGAAAGAATGCCTCCCTCAAATGTTGGGAGAATCAAATGAGTTACTTGATATGAAGCATTCATCACAGTATCTGAGGTTCTTTACTAGTACGTTCCTTCCTCTGTCTTAATTCAAGATGATTTGCTGCCATTTTGTGATTATCTTCATTTATCATTTTATTGAAAACATTTCTGGAACTCCCATTATCTACAGAGGGGCTGGGTGTCCCAATGACAATAAGCCACAGTGGTTGTCTTCAAAGAGTTACTGTCTAGTGCAAGAGACCAACACATCACTAGACAATTATAAATTATTATGAGTACACCAGTACAGGCAAGATGTAACATGACTCAGAAGAGGGACATGTAACCCAATAGGAGCCAGATAGGGATAGAGGATATCAAGGAGTGACACCTGAGTCAAGTCTTAACAGATGAATAGGAATCATAAAGGACATCTGTTGTCTTGCCTCTGCCCAGCATCTTTCCCCTCTTCTTAAAGGAACATTACCCCTTCCTTTGGGTAATCGCTCCAATCAAATTTTATTGGGCTGCCAATCACCTCTCCACCTAGCCCTGGGGTAGGTTCATGACTCAAGACAGTCAGCCATAGGCCTCAACCCTAGGCATAGTGATTAATCCAAGAGGGACAAAGAGAGATCTAGGCTAAACCCACATATGTCCTTCCAAAGGAATGTTCCAGAATAACACCGGAAAGGAAAATTCTCTTTTCTCTTTGGAATCAATAAACTGGAGTAACGTAAAACTGAGACTCTCCCCAATCTCCCCATGCCCTTCCTCCACCTGCTACTGGCTGGAGTTCTATACCTACAAAAGGAGAAAACGAAACCATCGCACAAGGAGCTGAATAATATGGAGAAAATCTTGAGGACACGGAGTCCTTGGTTTTCATGCACAGAGGCAGTGCCCTCTTTTTAAACCCCCCCCTTTTTTTTATTAATGTTAGCTTGCATTGGAATTCTATGACTTGTAAGTGCCCAAGCCAGTCTAATGTAAAAATTAACTAGGAAAAGAGGAGGCCTAGGTGAAAGCTTGAGGGTGAGGAAGAGCATAGGGTTTGTATGTATGGTGCTCGGTTGCAAGAGGAACATTTCCTTTGTTGAAGTCCTGCTTGATCTCCCCAGTTCCCTAGAGACCATGCTAGACATGCTAACCCATTAGCCTGCTAAGGTGGGGATCACCATAGAGATTTCTAGACCATTTTTATATATTTCATCGCCTAGATTGTGCCCCATATTGGAACTGAAACATGTCCTAAATCATGACCTGTTTAGTAAAGAGCCCTAAACTGCAGTCAACTCTGACTGCTTCTCTATCCAGGGCCAGGCTTCAGGCTCCTGGATCCACCCTTAGGTCTGCTAATAGTTACAGCCCTCTAGCACTGAGAATCCAGTCTGGGTTGTGCTCCTCTTGCTCCAATAGAATTCTGCAGACAGAAAGGCTTGATTAGGTGAGGTCAATGTACCTGACGCCCCTCTGGAGGCCAAACATTCCATGCCCAGCTGACCAATTTGAAAGGGACCGGCTTTACAGCCCAGACTGTCTCCACAGCCCCACCTTTCGCAGACCCCTCCCTCTGAGCAGCCTCCTCTCTGTGGAGAGATGGCCAGCATGACTTTAACCTGAGCCTAAGGAAGTGATGATATAAACCAACCTGCCCTCCATTTTTTGCATCTAGAAAAACACCCCCACTGTTTACAAGTGGATACCAAATTCTTCTTTGTACTTACCCTGCTTTTAAAAGACATATTGCCACATAGTTTCCCCATCCAATGTCATACATGCCTGGAGGACAGTGACCTTCTTCCCCCAGAGGACTAGCAGGGGCTGCAGATGCACTAATCAGTGCCTCTCTGGTGATTATTAGGTATATCTGGCCATGTGACCCTAAGGAAGAGCCCAAGGATCCAATCACGGTAACATGGTACAATATTTGGGAAGTTTGGGGCACCTGGGTAGCTCAGTCAGTTAAGCGACAGACTCTTGATCACAGCTCAGGGCATGAGTTCAAGCTTTCCATCGGGCTCCATGCTGATGGTGCGGAGCCTGCTTGGGATGGTCTCTCCTTCTCTGTGCCCCTCACCTGCTTGTGTGCTCACTCTCTCTCCCTCTCTCTCTCTCTCTCAAAATAAATAAACTTTTAAAAAGTATTTGGGCAGTTTATTAGTATCATGCAGAAAATTTTAAGTACAGATTATTTTAATAAATGGCAACTCTTCTGTTTTACAAAGTTAGGACAAACTGCTTTTTGGCATAGTTACAGTCGCCACAGATCTCAAACTAGTGGCTGCCTGCCCCTAGAAAGAAATCATGTCACCACGTCAAATGTATCCTTCTTCCAATGGGCATCTTCATTCATGTATCTGCTCTTTGCAGGGAAAAGCAAAGAAAAAAGGGGGTTTCTTTTCTATCATTCTACTTAGGTACTCACTGTGCTCCTATGTTGGGACAGCATTTACCTCTACCCAGGAGGTATCCCAGGAAATCTGAGGACCTAAGGGGTCATCACTCAAGTGTGCAGCCAGAGCCTTCCTCAGAGGATACTTCTAAATTAAAATAAGTGCCAAATTCTTGTTTATCTTTGTGATCATCTTGGCATCATGAAGGGTTATTTTATTTGTGACACTAATATGAAAAGAACACATTATCTTCACCTTAATAGGTTGAATGAAGATACATTCTTGCTAAATGATGGCCTTATGATAATAAATCTTGCTATCTAAAAAAAAAAAAAGGCTTCCCTGTATTTATTTCAAATTCAGAGAGATGGGTAAATCTGTTTCTTGTCGACACCTGGTAGCACATGGACAGTAGACTTAAAAGAACCCATGACACAGCCATGAATGGCATATTTCAGTTTCGAGTAGCAATTTAGTTGCATTACAATATCTGTCACATTAAATATGTTGTTAATTTGAATTAAATATGTGATTTTCTTGTAATAAGTTAGGTTTTTGTGTTTGCTTATATAAATCCACAAGAGCCATAAGCATAAATAATCTATACTTACATTTGCACACATTTAAGTAATATTATAATTAATGTAACTCAGTGCCTGAAGTCCATAGATTTTATTTTTC